CCCGTTGGAAGATTGGTTCAATTCAAGTTCATACTAAAGGAAAGACAAGGGAGATTTTGTGGCAACCAGGTCCAAACCAGGCTCTTCAGACCTGGGAAACTAACAAGACAATCAGATTATCTGAAGATTGGGAAAATGCTGACCTCCAAATGATGATCGAGGAAGATACATAAGAAAAGACTTCAGAAGCAGTTGTAGTGAATGTAGGATACATGAGTTCCAATCGCCAAAATGAGAAAAACATGGAAACTTCAAATGGAGCTCTGACTGCTCTGGATAAAAGAAACCATGATAACCAAAGAAGAAGATCCATTTTTGGTCCCTGGCTTGATTCCCATGTATGATTTAGAACATGAAGAAGTGAAGGAACCCATATCTCATGTGTCAGTGGAAGCCATTAACGAAGGTAAAGTCCAAACGTTCCCGGAGGTAATAGTTTGGAGTTCATGTTCCTGTTTTTCTAGAAAACCTCTTTGTATGAATGTCTTCCTCTAGGCTTTTTTTCTTTTTCTTAAACAGACTGAATAGAAATGCTCTGCTTGGTACATTGTCGTTTCATGAACTCTTAGAGGCTGCTGTTATACACACAGCTGCAGATGGTAATGAAACCTTTGCATCGTCTTTGTTAGTTGAATGAAACCGGTCTGTCGATTTGTGCAATGTACATATGTTGACCCATTTCACTAAAAAAATATCCTTAACTATGGCTTGGAGCTAGTTCCACGGTAGAAAATTTAGGATTGTTCCGTGGTCATCTCTTACAGTTTGTATTTATGAGAACTGAAAATAGATTGAAGCATGTTGTGTTGTGTTGTGTTTGTATATATATGTATGTCAAATGGTTTTGGTAAAGAGGGAGATGAAGATATTATATTTTTTTCCTAAAATCCCCAAGGAGAGGTTCAGGTTTGAAGGTTGCAAAAAATGTTGGAGTTCTTCACTATTCAAAAAAAAAAAAAATTTAAGTCCCTAAGAATTCCAAAGAGGGGTTCAGGGTTAGAAATGCTCTTAGAAGACAACAATTAATAGATTATGATGCTCTTTCGAATAAATAAGGTTTTAATGTAATCAACACATAATAATATCGTATTTTAAAGTTATTAACATCTTTGCAGTTTTCTTTGTAAACCAACCATTAAATTCAGAATTGCACGGATTTTTCGATTGACCAGTTAGTTGATCGAAGGATTAGAAGAACTATGTCATGTTTTTTTACCGAATACTCACAAATTCTCAAAGAAGATACATCATTACAATTATAGGTTCATTTAGAATTAGATGTGCTCTTAATCTATACTTTCTTTATTATAATAAATATAATACATACAATGATACACAACAAATATAAGCCCATCAGAACACACATACTATAAACTATCAATATTAACTATCAATATTGTAAAAGTCAACCCAATACACTTAACACTATACTCAATAACATTCAAATTTTAGAAATACGTTCAAGCCCGCACATGCATGCAGGCCAGTATCCTATTTGTAATTTAGAATAGATAAAATTTTAATTTACTTTCAATAAATTTGGTAATAGATTTTGGACAATGTAGTTTTTGCTTTGTTTGTTTTTTTTTTCAACTTGTTAGCTTAAAAAAAGTTAAAACTAATTTTATAGTATAATGTTTGATCATCATATATATTATAATCAAAATAAACTTTTAGCTTTAAACTTTTTAATTCAATTTTAGAATGGCTAATTACTTTTTAATCCTTAGTAAATTTTTTAAAATATCTTTAATTAATTAATTTCAAAAATACTTACAAAAAATATAATAATCTACTTGTGGACTTATCTTATACGTTAATTTCGGTCCGGGCTTTCGACTTTTTTTCCTATTTGAAATCTTAGCATTGCATAATCTCTATAAATTCAACCCGTAGACATCAATTTTATGGCATTCGAGACGAGTTTAGTTAGGTTTGTTTGTTTTTTTTTGTTGTTTATATCACATAACTCTTCCGTTTCGAGTCAGAAAACGTTTTGATATGCACCGGTTGGAGCCAGGGTATCCTCTGACATCGGCGGCATCGATATCCCTCACGATAGAGGCTGCACAGCTCACTCCAATGGTAAAATTTCTCCGAATTCGATAAGTGAACTTGTCTTCTTTTTTTTAAAACAAATTCCGTTGAGATTTAGATTATAGCTTATAGGTTTTTGATTTGAATTTGTGAAACTTGTATTGGTTCAGGGATGTGTTGCTCCATCATGTAGTGGATGTAATAGGAGCTCTAGGGCTTCCTGATATCGTTCAGATTTCCCAGATTTTGATCCTAAATGAAAAGGAGCTGAATCATCCGTCTTCATCAAAGAAGCTGTAAGCTTTCAATTTTGTGTGAAATTGTGTATGCAGAGATTTCCCCTATGCAATTATAGCTCTGTCATTAAGCCTGACTCTCAAGCTAGATTCATAGATTGGTGGAATTTACATAGTTTGGAAGCTTTTGGTTTGTTAATATCAAGGTTCTATAATTCTCTTTGAGTATAATCTTTTAACCTATAGATCTTGAGTATAATCTCTTTGAGTACAATCTTGCAAAGTTTTGGCATAGATCAAGTTTAGATCTGCTTCTTGGGTTGATGAATTATAGAAACACTCTCGTATTTGTACATTTCTTTGGAGGCAACATATATGATTGATGTTAAATACGGTTACTCAAATTTGAAACTATAGAGTTTCTTTCTTGTCTCTGTCCTTTTAAATTATGTGTTAGGTTTAGTGTAATATCGTTATTATGATTGACTGTGAATGTTTTATTTCATGGAAGCTAATGTGAATCAAGCTATGAATTTGAATGATGGCCACTTGAAATTAGGTGATATGATCAGTTATAATGAGGTTATGGTTATGTGGATCGAACAAAATCTCAGCTTCTTGTGGGTTTGAAGAGTGATTCAATGAACTTGAAACAAGGTTTTTGTTTGGCTTTATGTTTCAGGTGAGACTCATGGACGAGGCAGGGTACAAGATAGGAAACCTAGACGCGACATTGATTCTAAAAAGACCAATGATAAGTCCACACAAAGAGACGATCTGATCCAATCTGTCAAAGGTTCTAGGTGCAGATCCTTCTGTTGTGAACCTAAAAGCTAAAACCCACAAGAAAGCTGATAGCCTTGGAGAAAACAGAAGCATTGCAGCTCACACTGTTATTCTTCTCTTGAAGAAGTGAGTCAATTTTATCATATTCCTTAAATGTATCAATCTCTTTAAAAAAACACTTTTTAATGTAAAGTTTTAATGCAATTACACTTTAGACTAGATGTTTATTAATTCCTTCTTAGAAACAGTGAAAATCGAATCATGTGATGATGATACATTGAAATGGAAAAATGATTCTGGTTTCTTTGTCAGTTTCGAATAAAACTTGAAATTATGACTTTTTTAGCTGGAAGTTTCTTGTGACGCAATCTTCTACTTCTGTCATTTTCATATTCAGACATTACATCACATGAAAACTTTGATATTTTTGTCGATGTATATATGTATGATAATTTTGTTAATGTGTATGTACATCTGTGTGTTTTCAAAATACATATCTTTTCAGCGAAGTATACATTAGAAGGTAAATATGAATCTACACATAATTATTCTGTTGAGTATCTTACGAAGTGTTCACTCCATGACAACAGTACGCGATTTTCCTTTTTTCTCAATTTCCATTTTCCCCAATTTCCTTTTTCTGCCTATAGAAAACGTGTTTCAGGAGAAACATTACCCTATATATATATATATATATATATATATATATATATTTGATCCAAAAAACTTGACCACAGAAACGAAAAAAGGGAAGAAACCCTAAATAGTTTTACGCTTCATTCATCACTCTGTTTGATCGTTGGGTAGTAGCAGCTCGTTTGTTTTCGTGCCTCCAAGTTATGTCAACAGGAACAATTTATGGTCGTGATTTGTTGTGCTTGTCGTCATCCTCTGAGAAAGAGGTTCGCTCGGCAAAAATAAAAATTCGTTTTGCTGATATCATCGTCAAAGCTAAGTGCAGGAAAGAAATCGAAGAGAGTAGTAGCATTAAAAAGGCTGATGCGATGATGAAGATCGTAAAGAGAGAGAAGCAGGTTTTAAAGAGAAAAGAGAAAGGTAAAATCGAAGCTGTGATGAAGAGAAGATCCATGAGGTTGGAAGCTCGACGTAAGCTAGAGAAGGTGGAAGAAGAAGCGAGATTCAAGATGAAAGAAGATCACTTGGCTGATGAGAAGGAAATCGTGAAGCTCTGCGGTGGCTCTCGTATGGCAAGAACTCGTTGGGTTAAAAAGTTTGGTCTGATTTTAAAAAACGACAATGATGATTCTTTGGAAGCTTTCGATGATCTTGAAGAAGGTGAGATCCGCTAGCTGGGATGAAGTCAACTGCCTCAAGTAAAAAAGAAATAATTAGTGTAACTTTTTTTTAGTATAATACTTACTGGTCCCATATGTAATTTTTTTTTCATTTAGTTCAGTTACTTGATCAATTTTTTCTATTTTTTTTTTGGTTTTTTGGAACATTAGATCTCATTAATAAACTTAGAGTCATACAAGAGTGGAAACAGAGGAAAGTAAATCGTGGAGGACTTGTTTTGCCAAAGCATCGACCGACAATTTAGCCGTCCCCTACACGTAGATAAACAAAATACATTAAAACAAGCGCTAGGGATTGGATGTCGCAGAGGAGTCCATAGAGCTCCTTAAGCTGATCACGAGAGTTGATTGCTCGAACAAATGTTTGAACGTCTGATTTGCAGCAGAGGTGTGTATACCCCAATTCTAGAGCATAAAGATACTGTGTGGTATTTACATTGCTGTGTGGTATCCAAACTTTGCAGAATAACCTTCTGATTTGTCTGGTAGCCACTAGAAACGTATCCTCTGCATCAAAATTGCTCGGCCAAAGGCATATGATAGATGTGGGTAACTCAGGGGTTCTGTCACTATTCCAGACTTGAGTATTCTCGAGGAAGAGGTCAGAGACAGACCAGTATTTTCATTATAGTGTTGCAGATCCCATTGGTTTCTCTGGTTGATTAAGGGACAGCCATGAATCATTCCATAGTGAAGTGTCTTTCCCATTGCCAAAAGCTCTTCCAAGCTGAGATTTAAGGAGATCTTTGCCTATGATCACACTTCCCCAGCAATGAGATGCAGATGCAACTGTTTTTGTTTCCAAGAAGGGTTGATCTTTGCATAATTTCCCCAGGAGAATTTTGGCGACGAGACAAGAAGGGTTCAAAAGGATCCGCCAGCTGACTTTGGCTAGTAAAGCGTCATTAAAGCTTTGAATGTCACGTAGACCCAATCCACCTTCCTTCTTAGACTTAGCGAGCTTTTTTCAAGAGACAAAACACACTTAATTATGTCCAGAGTTGGAGTCCCACCAAAATCTTGTTAATACTTAATGCCGACTGAATCCTTTTGTAAAGACTAGATGAAAGCTTAAAAGAAGACATAGGAAAAGTAGGAGTAGCAGAGAGGACCGATTTAAGGAGTGTTAACTTTCCTGCACTCGAGAGAAACTTAGAAGACTAACTCACTGCATTTTGCCTTATCCTGTCAACAATCTGCGTAAAGAGGTCCTTCTTACACCGTCCAAAGCTCTCTGGAAGTCCCAGATACTTCCCATTACCCCCTCTTTACAAATACCAAAACTTGTCTTTACTCTGTATTTGACATCCTGTGGGATTTACTTGAGAAAGTAATCGATTTTTGTACATTATATTGATCATCTGACCAAAGGATTCCTCGTATTTCTTGAAAATAGACATTAAAGCTTCACAACTCCGAGGGTTTGTTTTACAAAAAACATTGTATCGTCAGCAAAAAGTAGAGGGTTTACTCTCAGATCCCATCATGAAACACATATTCCTAAAAGATGTCCACTAGCTTGAGCTCTTGTGCACAATCCCGAGAGGACTTCTCCACAAAAGATGAAGATGTATGGGGAGAGGGGATCACCTTGTCGAATTTCACCTTGTGGAATAACTTGACCTTGAGCTGAGCCGTTAATGAGGAAGGTGTAAGAAACTGTGGCAACACATTGGAAGATCCAACTGATCAATTTGGAATGGAAACTGTGGCGCTCAAGAACTGTTGTGATGAAGCTCCATTCAAGCCTGTCATAGGCTTTGCTCATGTCTGTTTTGACAGCTATGGAGCAGTGTTTTGTCTGATATTGCTCTTCCGAACACAAACGCAGACTGTGTTTCAGATAGAAGTGAGTTCCAGTTTCAGTCTTCTGGTGAGGATATTTCAAATAATTCTGTAGTACACATTGCAAAGAGCAATTGAGAAAAATGCTCTTCAGACCTGGGAAACTAACAAGACAATCATATTATGTGAAGACTGGGAAAATGCTGACCTCCAAATGATGATCGAGGAAGATACATAAGAAAAGACTTCAGAAGCAGTTGTAGTGAATGTAGGATACATGAGTTCCAATCGCCAAAATGAGAAAAACATGGAAACTTCAAATGGAGCTCTGACTGCTCTGGGGAAAAAGAAACCATGATAACCAAAGAAGAAGATCCATATTTGGTCCCTGGCTTGATTCCCATGTATGATTTAGAACATGAAGAAGTGAAGGAACCCATATCTCATGTGTCAGTGGAAGCCATTAACGAAGGTAAAGTCCAAACGTTCCCGGAGGTAATAGTTTGGAGTTCATGTTCCTGTTTTTCTAGAAAACCTCTTTGTATGAATGTCTTCCTCTAGGCTTTTTTTTCTTTTTCATAAACAGACTGAATAGAAATGCTCTGCTTGGTACATTTTCGTTTCATGAACTCTTAGAGGCTGCTGTTATACACACAGCTGCAGATGGTAATGAAACCTTTGCATCGTCCTTGTTAGTTGAATGAAACCGGTCTGTCGATTTGAGCAATGTACACATGTTGACCCATTTCACTAAAAAATATCCTTAACTATGGCTTGGAGCTAGTTCCACGGTAGAAAATTTAGGATTGTTCCGTGGTCATCTCTTACAGTTTGTATTTATGAGAACTGAAAATAGATTGAAGCATGTTGTGTTGTGTTGTGTTTGTATATATATGTATGTCAAATGGTTTTGGTAAAGAGGGAGATGAAGATATTATATTTTCCTAAAATCCCCAAGGAGAGGTTCAGGTTTGAAGGTTACAAAAAATGTTGGAGTTCTTCACTGTTCAAAAAAAAAAAAAAATTTAAATCCCTAAGAATTTCAAAGAGGGGTTCAGGGTTAGATATGCTCTTAGAAGACAACAATTAATAGATTATGATGCTCTTTCGAATAAATCAGGTTTTAATGTAATCAACACATAATAATATTGTATTTTAAAGTTATTAACATCTTTGCATTTTTTCTTTGTAAACCAACCATTAAATTCAAAATTGCATGGATTTTTCGATTGACCAGTTAGTTGATCGAAGGATTAGAAGAACTATGTCATGTTTTTTTACCGAATACTCACAAATTCTCAAAGAAGATACATCATTACAATTATAGGTTCATTCAGAATTAGATGTGCTCTTAATCTATACTTTCTTTATTATAATAAATATAATACATACAATGATACACAACAAATATAAGCCCATCAGAACACACATAATATAAACTATCAACATTGTAAAAGTCAACCCAATACACTTAACACTATACTCAATAACATTCAAATTTTAGAAATACGTTCAAGCCCGCACATGCATGCAGGCCAGTATCCTAGTTGTAATTGAGAATAGATAAATTTTTAATTTACTTTCAATAAATTTGGTAATAGACTTTGGACAATATAGTTTTTGCTTTATTTGTTTTTTTTTTCAACTTGTTTGCTTAAAAGAAGTTAAAAACTAATTTTATAGTATAATGTTTGATCATCATATATATTATAATCAAAATAAACTTTTAGCTTTAAACTTTTTCATTCAATTTTAGAATGGCTAATTACCTTTTACTCCTTAGTAATTTTTTATAAATATCTTTAATTAATTAATTTCAAAAATGCTTACAAAAATACAATAATCTACTCGTGGACTTATCTTATACGTTAATTTCGGTCCATGCATTCGATTTTTTTTTTCCTATTTGAAATCCTAGCATTGCATAAACTCTATAAATTCAACCCGTAGACATCAATTTTAGGGCATTAGAGACGAGTTTAGTTAGGTTTGTTTTTTTTTTTTTGTTTATATCACAGAACTCTTCCGTTTCGAGTCAGACAACGTTTTGATATGCACCGGTTGGAGTCAGGGTATCCTCTGACATCGGTGGCATCGATATCCCTCACAATAGAAGCTGCACAGCTCACTCCAATAGTAAAATTTCTCCGAATTCGATAAGTGAACTTGTCTTCTTTTTTAAAAAAATTTCCGTTGAGATTTAGATTATAGTTTATAGGTTTTTGATTTGAATTTGTGAAACTTGTATTGGTTCAGGGATGTGTTGCTCCATTATGTAGTGGATGTAATTCTAGGAGCTCTAGGGCTTCCTGATATCGTTCAGATTTCCCAGATATTGATCCTAAATGGAAAGGAGCTGAATCATCCGTTTTCATCAAAGAAGCTGTAAGCTTTCAATTTTGTGTGAAATTGTGTATGCAGAGATTTCCCCTATGCAATTATAGCTCTGTCATTAAGCCTGACTCTCAAGCTAGATTCATAGATTGGTGGAATTTACATAGTTTGGAAGCTTTTGGTTTGTTAATATCAAGGTTCTATAATTCTCTTTGAGTATAATCTTTTAACCTATAGATCTTGAGTATAATCTCTTTGAGTACAATCTTGCAAAGTTTTGGCATATATCAAGTTTAGATCTGCTTCTTGGGTTGATGAATTATAGAAACACTCTCGTATTTGTACATTTCTTTGGAGGCAACATATATGATTGATGTTAAATACGGTTACTCAAATTTGAAACTATAGAGTTTCTTTCTTGTCTCTGTCCTTTTAAATTATGTGTTAGGTTTAGTGTAATATCGTTATTATGATTGACTGTGAATGTTTTATTTCATGGAAGCTAATGTGAATCAAGCTATGTATTTGAATGATGGCCACTTGAAATTAGGTGATATGATCAGTTATAATGAGGTTATGGTTATGTGGATCGAACAAAATCTCAGCTTCTTGTGGGTTTGAAGAGTGATTCAATGAACTTGAAACAAGGTTTTTGTTTGGCTTTATGTTTCAGGTGAGACTCATGGACGAGGCAGGGTACAAGATAGGAAACCTAGACGCGACATTGATTCTACAAAGACCAATGATAAGTCCACACAAAGAGACGATCTGATCCAATCTGTCAAAGCTTCTAGGTGCAGATCCTTCTGTTGTGAACCTAAAAGCTAAAACCCACAAGAAAGCTGATAGCCTTGGAGAAAACAGAAGCATTGCAGCTCACTGTTATTCTTCTCATGAAGAAGTGAGTCAATTTTATCATATTCCTTAAATGTATCAATCTCTTTAAAAAACACTTTTTAATGTAAAGTTTTAATGCAATTACACTTTAGACTAGAGGTTTATTAATTCCTTCTTAGAAACAGTGAAAATCGAATCATGTGATGATGATACATTGAAATGGAAAAATGATTCTGGTTTCTTTGTCAGTTTCGAATAAAACTTGAAATTATGACTTTTTTAGCTGGAAGTTTCTTGTGACGCAATCTTCTACTTCTGTCATTTTCATATTCAGACATTACATCACATGAAAACTTTGATATTTTTGTCGATGTATATATGTATGATAATTTTGTTAATGTGTATGTACATCTGTGTGTTTTCAAAATACATATCTTTTCAGCGAAGTATACATTAGAAGGTAAATATGAATCTACACATAATTATTCTGTTGAGTATCTTACGAAGTGTTCACTCCATGACAACAGTACGCGATTTTCCTTTTTTCTCAATTTCCATTTTCCCCAATTTCCTTTTTCTGCCTATAGAAAACGTGTTTCAGGAGAAACATTACCCTATATATATATATATATATATATATATATATATATATTTGATCCAAAAAACTTGACCACAGAAACGAAAAAAGGGAAGAAACCCTAAATAGTTTTACGCTTCATTCATCACTCTGTTTGATCGTTGGGTAGTAGCAGCTCGTTTGTTTTCGTGCCTCCAAGTTATGTCAACAGGAACAATTTATGGTCGTGATTTGTTGTGCTTGTCGTCATCCTCTGAGAAAGAGGTTCGCTCGGCAAAAATAAAAATTCGTTTTGCTGATATCATCGTCAAAGCTAAGTGCAGGAAAGAAATCGAAGAGAGTAGTAGCATTAAAAAGCTGATGCGATGATGAAGATCGTAAAGAGAGAGAAGCAGGTTTTAAAGAGAAAAGAGAAAGCTAAAATCGAAGCTGTGATGAAGAGAAGATCCATGAGGTTGGAAGCTCGACGTAAGCTAGAGAAGGTGGAAGAAGAAGCGAGATCCAAGATGAAAGAAGATCACTTGGCTGATGAGAAGGAAATCGTGAAGCTCTGCGGTGGCTCTCGTATGGCAAGAACTCGTTGGGTTAAAAAGTTTGGTCTGATTTTAAAAAACGACAATGATGATTCTTTGGAAGCTTGCGATGATCTTGAAGAAGGTGAGATCCGTTAGCTGGGATGAAGTCAACTGCCTCAAGTAAAAAAAAAATAATAAGTGTAGCTTTTT